GTGTGTGTGTGTGTGTGTGTGTGTGTGTGTGTGTGTGTGTGTGTGTGTGTAAATGTATATATGTGTATATATACTTGTTTTTGTTGTTGTTTTCTTAAAGATTTTTATTTACTATGTATAGAATGTTCTGTTTGCATGTAGTCCTGCATGCAAGAAGATGGCAACCACGTGGTTGCTGGGAATTGAACTCAGGACCCGGAGGAGCAGTCAGTGCTCTTAACCTCTGAGCCATCTCTCCAGCCCTGTTTTTTGGTGTGTTTGTTTGTTTATGTTTGTTTTTGTTTTTTTTGAGATAGGTTTTTACTGTGTAGCCCTGGCTCTCCTGGAACTGTCTTTGTAGGCTGGCCTCCAATTCACAGAGATCCACCTGCCTCTGCCTCCTGAGCACTGGGATAAAAGGCGTGCACCACCGTGCCCGTCTTAAAAAAATTAAAAAAAAAAAAAAAAAAGGCCATTTTAAAGTATATCTTTACTAGTGTGTTAAGCTTTGACTATGGTGGCACTGCCTGCCATCTCCCACATCAGAGGCAGAGTCCGGAGGCTTAGAAATTGAAGATCACCCCCACCTACATAGAGAGGTCAGGCAGGACCTGATTAAAGAAGAGTGGAAGCACAGATGCCACTTTGAGGACAACAAACACCCGCCAGCTGATCCATTGCTCTCTCACCCTCTGTGTTTTTTTTTTTTTTTTCTCTACTATAATCAAGGCTTTTTTTTCCCTTCTAGGAAAATACACAAGCAAGTGAGCTTTACTCTCTGTCCCCTCGGGGGCTCCTTTCCGGTTTTTCTTTTGTCAGTAACTTCCGATGCTCAAGCCTCAGCCTCGGCTCACTGGAAGTGTAAGCAGCTTGGCATGCCCTTAGGAGGCCACCTCGCAACCTGTTTTCCCCCCACTGGCAGCCTGGGGCCGCGCCCCGAGCCGGCGTCGTCGGAGCTCAGACCTGTGGCTCCAGATACGGCTTTTGTGTCCCTAGGTCTGCTGTGGTTTTGATGAGGTCTCATAAAAACACGGTGCCAAACCCAGCTCTTCGTGCTCTGAGCTCTCGTTACGCTCGGAGCCAGCTGAACCTCCGTGATTTCCCTGGTGTTCACAGGCGGGAATTATTGCTTGAGTCTGTTCTTTGAGCACACTGATTCCCGCCGTCTTGGGAGATGATAACGTTTTAGTCTCAGGAGCGTCTGCTTCAAGCCTTCGGGATCGGATTATTGTCTAAACATTTTAGTAGGAGCTACAGTTTGGAGTCGGTACCCATGGGAACTTTCTCTGGTGAACAGATGAAACCTGAAACTGCTTTCTCCCTCCCTCCCCTTCCCTCTCTTCACCCGGAAGTGTTCCTGTGGCCTCACTCATGGCGGGCGAGTGCTCTACTGCCATAAGCCATTCCAACCATTCCAGAGCTTCTGAAAATCCTGTCCTTTAAACCCAGTATACTCCCGTGTAGAGTCTATCTTCTTTATGACTTTTTTTTTTTCCCTGAGACAGGGTTTCTCTGTGTGACCCAGGCTGTCCCGGAACTCACTCTGTAGACATTGCTGTTGTCGGACTCAGAGATCCGCCTGCCTCTGCCTCCCAAGTGCTGGGAGTAAAGGGGTGTGCCACCACCTGTCTCTTTGTTTGTTTTCATGTTTTAAACCTGAAAGTAAAATGAAGGTTGGAGATGTAGCTCAGTGGTTAGAGTGCCTGATGCCTAGCATGCGCAGAGCACCACATAAAACCGGTCTGGTGGTGTGTGCCTGCTCCCAGCTCTCAGGAGGTGGGAGGCAGGAGGGTCAGGTATTGAAGGCCAGCCAGCCTCAGCTGCTATTACAGCAAACCTCAAAAGGCCGCTATTTGGATTTAGAAGGTTTAGGTTTCCTGCAGCAGTTTCTGGTTGTTCAGGCTCGTCCGTGGTTGCCGATCTGTCAGCCAGCACTGGAGCGGGTATAACCCTTCTACTCCTGCTCACCCAGGGTCCTCCTCCTGTCCCCACAGCACCCGCAGGCCCCCCGGTGGGGGTGAAGGTGACACTGATAGAGGACGACACTGCCCTCGTCTCCTGGAAACCCCCGGATGGCCCAGAGACCGTCGTGACACGCTACACCATCTTGTATGCTTCCAGGAAGGCCTGGATTGCGGGCGAGTGGCAGGTCCTACACCGAGAAGGTGAGCGTGATCAGCGGTTATCACGGAGAGTAAGAGGGAGTTATTGGTGTCGCAGGGGGAGCCCGAGGGAGGCGACGCAGAGCTCTCACTGAACTTACATTCTTACGTAGACAGTAACAAATTATTAAAGTGTTTAAGTCTTGCCCAAAGAGCATTGGCAAGGCATCTATCAGTTTAACTAAATGTATTGTGTGTGTGTGTGTGTGTGTGTGTGTGTGCGTGCGCGCACGCGGGCACACAGGTTTTCAGGGTTGCTGGGCAAGCCCTTGGCCTCTGGAGCCATCTTGCTGGCCCCAGTTTTCTCAAGTACAGAGAAAACCTGATTAGGGCGTAGGGACACGTTGAAGGCTTTTAAGCATTGGTCTGCCTTCAGCTGAGGAATACTAAATTACCAAATTTCGTTCTCCCCACACGCTTTTTGCGCTACGTTCTTTATAAAAGCTGAAGCGTCCGGTCCGAGCACGTTCCGTACGGTACTTTAGGTGGAGGGGGGTGTTATTTTGGTATGCCCTTAATTTACACTTTCCGGAAAAGGAGCGCTTGCCAAGCAATTACAAGTTTAAGGCTTCAGGGTAGTGGGCCACGTCTGTAACCCTGGCGCTTTTGAGATGAGGAAGAAAAATTACAGTCTTGTGGCCAGCCCACACCTATCTCATGGGGAAAAAACAAAAGCTTAAGTTTGTAATTTAAAAAAAAAAAAAAAAAAAAAAAAAGGTTTTTAGGGGTTGGAGAAATGGCTTGGTTAAGAGCAGTGACTGGTCTTCCAGAGGACCCAGGTTCAATTCCCAGCGCCCACAAGGCAGCTCACTGCTGTCCCGTAACTCCAGTTCCAGGGGGTCTGACACCCTCACACAGACGTACATGCAGGCAGAACACCCTAGGGAACATAAATAAATGACTTAAAATTTTTTATCAATTTTTATTTTATGTGCATTGGCGTTTTGCCTGAATGTATGTCTATGTGAGAGTGTCATGTGCCCTGGAAACTGGAGTTACACACAGTTGTGAGCTGTCATGTGGCTGGTAGGAGTTAAACCTGTATCCTTTGGAAGAGCAGCCATTGCTCTTAACCCCTGATCCATCTCTTCAGCCCTACCCAACCCCACTTTTTTTGTTTGTCTGTTTTAGTTTTTCAATGCAGGGTTTCTCTGTGTAGCCTTGGCTGTCCTGGACTCACTCCGTAGACCAGGCTGGCTTTGAACTCACAGATACCCACCTGCTTCTGCCTCCTGAGTGCTGGGATTAAAGGTGTGCGCCACCATCATCCGGCCTTTTTTATAAAGATTTAAGTTTTATTTTTAAGGATGCATAACTGTGGGTTTGCGCATATGAGCGCAATTCCTCACATGCACCAGGAGGGGGCGCCAGATTTCTTAGAAACGGAGTTTGGAGCCTCCAAGTGGGTCCTAAGAAAGGAACCAGGTCCTCTGCAGGAGCAGCCAGTGCTCAGAGCTGCTGAGCCACCTCTCCAGCCCTGTGAGCTGTTATGGTTGTAGATCCATGTCTTCTGCCCTCAAGAGCCCCGCTCAGTAGTAACTGGCCACCGAGGAGACTTGGGCGTCGTAAGGACCTGGCAGGTACGTGGCGCTGTGTTGGTCAGGTGTCGCTTGCAGCCTCACGGAGCGCTCTGGAGCTTCAAGCAGTTGTTGTGTCTTCTCATTGATTCTGTGAACCTTGGTTCTGAGTGGGATGGGGAGCCTAGAAGCAGTGAGGAGGGGGACGTGGAGCCTGGGAGGAACAGTGTTAGCGAGCTTGGCGCGTCACCTGCGTCACCTTTGTGTTCACTGGTGTCCCGGCAGGTACGGTAAGTCACGCGGCCAACCCTGAGCAGGAAAGTCAGGGCCGCCCAGAGGTGTGACTAGACCTCACTGGGGCCTCCTTATTATCATAATCCAGCTTATGCTCTTTAAAAATACAAATAAAGCCAGGCGATGGTGGTGCACACCTTTGATCCCAGCACCAGGGAGGCAGAGGCGGGTGGATCTCTGAGTTCAAGGCCAGCCTGGTCTACAGAGTGAGTTCAGGACAGCCAGGGCTACGCAGAGAAACCCTGTCTCAAAAAACCAAAATAAAATAAACATTTGGCAGGGGCAGAGAGTGGCAGTAGGTATGATTAAGGAGGTCAGAGGACAGCATGGAGGAAGCTGCCTGACATGGGTGCTGATATTGAACCTGGGTCCTCTAGAAGAGCAACATTTTCAAACCCAGGAGCCATCTCTCCGAAATTCAGTTTCAGTCTCCCATTTCTTAGATGGTTTATTGACACAACGCTTGACCAAATGACAAACCTGATTTAATGAGGTGTCATAAATATTAATCAGGAGTCCCTCGAGCCCGTAGATTTGAATTCTTCCTTCTTACCTTCCTAAAAGGAAACAATACTTTCCTCTGCCTGTTTCCAAATTGACCCATTCAGGAGTTTGGGAAAGAGCTCAGAAATTAACATCTTACCTCATTTTTGGCTCTGTGGAGACTCACATGGTAATTGCAGGCTTTTGTAAACCCTCCTAACTACATAATTATGTGCAGAAAAACATGATTCTTGTGCTGCTTGGTGAGATTTTCAGGAACGTTCTTGTGAGATGCATTTGTCATTTGTTAAACATAGAGAGCTTTCTTCAGAGTTAATGCCGTGGCTCGGAGAGAAGTAAATGGTGTAACAAAGAACAATTAAGTTTTGTATTTGAGAGAGAAAATATGAAGGAGTCAACTTACCTACAATTACTTAAAAAGCAAGGAGCGCAGTTTGGAATAGAGAACAACCTAAAATGGAAAACTGTCTTTTGTATCTGAACATAGCCGTTTTAGAAAGGCAAGAGTGTAGGAAAACACGGGGAAATAAGGATTTTCTTATATCTGATAATATTTATTTTTTCATTTTTTTTTGAAGCAGATTTTCTCTAGGTAGCTCTGGCTGTCCTAAAACTAGCTCTGTAGACCAGGCTGGCCTTGAACTCGAAGATCTGCCTAGCTGATAATCTTTAACTTATAACAAATTTACACATATTTGTGTTCATATTTAATTCCAAATAAACCAAGAATTTAATTTTTTTTTTTTTTTTTTTTGGAGAATCAATCTGTAGTAGAGGGCCAACAGGATGGACCATCAGGTCAAGGTGCTTGCCATCAATGCAGACCACCTGAGTTTGATGCCTGGAGCCCACAGGGTGGAAGGAGAAACAGACTGCACCAGGAGTCCGACAGACTCTTGACCTCTGACCTCTACACGCAAGACTCATGTGTTCATGGGGAAACAGGATGTTAAAACATCGTATTTACTTATTTATTTAGTAACTGACGTCTTTTTTGGTTTTGGTTTTTCGAGACAGGGTTTCTCTGTGTAGCCTTGTCTGTCCTGGACTCGCTTTGCAGACCAGGCTGGCCTCCAACCCAAGGAGATCCTCCTGCCTCTGCCTCCCTGAGTGCTACAGGCATGTGCCCAGCTCTGAAATCATTTTTAATGGACAGAAAGAATATGTAGACATATACCCCCTCATTCGCTTACAGAATTTAAATTCATTGGGCTGGAGGTATAGCTCAGCTGGTTGGATGCTAAAATCAATCACAGTAGCGCTCACCTGTATCTCAGCACTTGAGATGTGGAGGCAGGAGGATCAGGAGCTCAGGGTCATTACCCACTTAGTGAGTTAGAGGCCAGCCTGGTCTGCAAAGTGAGTCCAGGACAGCCAAGGTTACACAGAGAAACCCTGTCTCGGAAAACAAAACAAAAAATTTGCTTCTCATAGTTGTAAGTTTTGCCAAACATTTTGAAACATTAAATGTATTCAATGATAGAATAGGAGCTCTATTTTTGTCTCCACTTGTGAGGAAATCAGGGTGGTCCTCTGGCTAATTTTAACTTCTCACGGTACATCTCTGTTTTGTAACCCATCTGCCTATTTCCAAGGTGCACAGTACAGACTCTTCCTGCTTCTAAATAGGGCTTCTTGGTGTGTTTATTTAGCAGTTGCGTTACTCCAGGAACTCGCCTTCTCTTTAGGCCAAGTGGAAACCAGAGAACATGAAAACAAGTCCTGTTGGGCTCCTGGCACGGCCGCTGGTAGCCGGGCCACTTGATACCCTGTGACCTGGAGATTGGCCTCTGGGTCAGGGCCTCGCCTGCCCGCACTCCCCTTGCTCAGTGAGGTAGACCCTAGTTATCACTCTGGAGAAGCCAGCCCCGGCTCTTCAGTTGCCTGCAGCAAACCCTCTGCACGAGGAGAAAAGGAGGACACTCCCCTCCCCCCTCCCCACACCAGGAGGGCTGGGTGTCCCCGTGCACTGGGCAGTTCTGTGACAGCCTCGCGGTTGACTCTCTTAGAGGGAAATGTTTAAAATGCCGAGAGAAGCAGCAGGGTTCAAACAGGAATCCTCAGGGGCCGTCACAGAGAAGACACCCACAGATGCTTAACCATTTGTGAATTCAAATGAGGATTGCCTTCAGAGAGGAGCAGGTCTCAGGCGGAGGAGCGCGGACAGCTTGCATTTATTTATTTATTTATCTATCTATCTATCTATCTATCTATCTATCTATCTATCTATCTATCTATCTATTCATTCATTCATTCATTTATTCATTTATTTATTTTAACATTTTTATTTATTTTGGGGGTCTGACTTCCACTGTGGCATGTGGACACCCTGTGGGGAGTCAGTTCTTCCACTATGTGGGTCCCAGGCATCAACGTCAGGGTTTGGGGCTGTGGTTGCAACCGTTTCTAGGCGCTGAGCGTCTTGCTGGCCTGGGCCCGGTCACCTTGTGGGTTAACCTGGGTTGAGGAGATGTCTCAGTGGCTAAAAACACCTGCCGCTAAGCCTGAAATCCCGAGTTCAGGCCCCACGACCCATCGGGTGGAGGAAGGGAAGGCTGCTGCGAGCTGCCCTCCGAGCTCCACGCGCACGAACAGCCGCACACACTCAACGCGTAACGAACGTTGTAAAAACCATGAGGGCTCCTCAGCCTCTGCGGTTCCCATGGAAACCTGTGCTTTTGTTTTAGAAACGTGATAATCAGCTCCTGAAAGACTCAACATTGGGGAAATGTTTGTGTTCTTTCTCTCTTAAAAGAGTTTTGGATTTTCAAGGCAGGGTTTCTCTGTGTAGACCAGGCTGGCCTGGAACTCACAGAGATCTACCTGCCTCTGCCTCCCGAGTGCTGGGACTGAAGCTATGCACTACTATGCCCAGCTTAAATTACTTTTAAGTGTGTGTGTGTGTGTGTGTGTGTGTATTTGTAGCTGTGTGCAGATGAGTTCGGCTGCCCTCAGAGACCAGAGCCTCTGACCCCTGGAGCCGGAGCTTCCGGTGGTTGTGAGCCACCGAGCATGGCAGCTAAAAGACTGTGAACCGCTCTTGCAGAGGGCTAAGTTAAAGTTAAAAAATAAAGATGTGGTTTTTACTATTTACTGTCTTTTAGACTTTATTTTAATGTGTATGGGTGTTTTGCCTGCATGTGTACCACCAGCACGCCTGGTGCCTGTGGCGGCCAGAAGAGGGCATTCGGTGCCCTGGATTTTAACGCCTAGCTAAAAGAGTTCACACATACACGTAAAAATAAAAACTAGGAAAAAGAAATAAGTATCTTTTTAACTTTAACTCGGCCCTCTGAATGCGCTGCATATACTCTTAACTGCTAAGCCATTTATTTCCCTTGCCCCTGTTCTTCTTTAAGAAGGAAGAACAGGGAATCTAAAACAGCTGCTAAGCTAAGAGGTTGGAACAAGTATAATTAGGAAAGAAAGATTGCCCTTCCGCTGGAACTTTTTTCCTGACACTGAATTTTTGTTGTTTGTTTGTTTGTTTGTTTTCAAGACAAGGGTTTCTCTGCGTAGCCTTGGTTCCGGGCTCACAGCATGTGCCTGATGTGTGTACATATGCTTTCTGTATGTGTTGAGATGTCCACAATTCAGTGTTCTTAATGTCATGCGTATATAAGGAATAAAACTTTGTATAGGCATATACAGTATAAGTAAACAGTATAAGGTAAACCTACATAAACTCAAAATTCCTTCCAAGGCTGGAGAGATGGCTCAGCGGTGAAGAAAACATACCGTTCTGTAGCCGACCAGAGCCAGTGCCCAGAACCTGGGTCTCGGCTGCTCAGAAGGGCCTGGAGCTCCAGCCCTGGGGAACAAACAAACAAACAGAAAATACCTCCGAAAATTCTATTACGGAGGCCTTTATGGGATGTCTGTGTATGCATGGGACGATGTTATGGGAACACATTTAGATATGAAAGTGCATGAGGCAAACATGTACTTGAGGTGTGGAATGTAGCTCAGAGTGTGTTTAGCATGCACAAGGACCTGGGTGCAATGCCAGCACCATACCAAAGAGAAAAAAAAATCTCGTTTGTACATTCGTACACAAATAATTAAAATGTCAACAATGGCGTTATCACTGTAACAATACCTTTCTGTGTTCCAAATGACCCACAATGAAAATAGCCACTTCTATAGTTAGGAAGGATGTACTTCTGTTTTTATTTACGTGTGTATGCATGCTGCATGTGGGGGATGGGTACTGTGGGGTCTGGCAGAGGCGGTAGACCCCTGGGAGCTGGAGTTACAGGTGAGCTGCATGATGTGGGTGCTGGGAACCGGACCCCCACGCCTTCCAACAGATGAGCAGACGCTCTCCATGGCTGAGCCTTCTCTCCAGACCCCTGGAAAAAGAGTTACAGACATGTTCTCCCCGTTTGCGCCGCTGTGAAAGTTGACTTGGTCTGTGGTGTTTCTAGGGGCCATAACCATGGCTCTGCTGGAAAACCTGGTGGCCGGAAACGTCTACATCGTCAAGATATCTGCCGCCAACGAGGTGGGAGAAGGGCCCTTTTCAAACTCTGTGGAGCTGGCCGTCCTCCCCAAGGACACTTCCGAATCCAACCAGAGGCCCAAGCGTTTGGATCCTTCCGAGGCCAAAGGTCAGCATCTTGCCACCGTCACTGGGGCTGCTTTTTGTTTTTTCATTCCCTTATCCTTGATCTCAGCTCCCACGGAACCTGAACTTGGTTTGCTGAGTTGTCGCCGGTGGAGTTCTGAGGTTGCTAAACTGTGTGGCTCTCTTCTGTAGGCTGGGAAGGCAGCGAGGAAATCACCTCAGAGTGAACCTTCAGCCCCACAGTTGCGTCCCCAGCTGTGCAGCCAATGGGCTGGATCGGTGGCAGGCTTGTGGGTGGGAGCGTCCTGGCAGGTTCTGAGGAAACCAACAGCAGAGGTGGTTGTGGTACCAGGGCCGGGACAAACCTGGCTTCCATTAAGAAAAAAAAGTTATTCCTGAGAGAAGGTTGTTCTTATCCAGAACAATAGTTGAGAGTGGGGAAAACATGGCTACCTCACTCTACCTCACTCCTCTTAGGTCTACCTGGTCTAAAGGGAGCCGCTGGCCCCTGGGGATCAGGACAAGACGTCTCTTTTCTGTGGAGAAGTGAGGAGCAGCTTCAAGCAGCCTGAGAGCCGCAGATTAGTTATTTGGTGTGGGAGAAGGCAAGAAGGACAGACAGACAGAATTAAGAACAGGAGGGAGGTAGCTCCAATAGCCCTTACCATCAGGGAAGAGGAGAGCAGTCTCTTCCTTGTTTGTCAGTTCCTTTGCTCAGGGTGTGGAGAAATGAAATGAATTGAGAGCACTGGTCTGCAGGGGACCAGAATTTGGTTCCCAGCTTCAGGGAGACCTGACGCCACCTTCTGGTCTCTGTTGGCACTGCATACAGACATATAAATAAAAGGAATACCTTTAGAAGTCAGTAAATTCTAGACCGGTGTTCACTGTTGGATAGGGTAGTATCTGTCTGAATGTGCTCTCAGCCTTCAGTATCGGCAAATGAACTGCCTTCTGTAATCACTGGCAGAAATCAACTCATGACTTCTCTGTTTGGATGTAGTGTTAAAACTCTCCCTGCGAGATAAAGGCACACTGTAGAAAAGCAGCTATCGGAACTGTGATGTGTGGGATGCCTTTGTTTCTTCCCATTGAATAAATGTGCTTCTGTTCTAGTTCATTCAGGCTACTACCACCTGGACCAAAAGTCAATGACGGGCATCGCAGTGGGCGTTGGCATAGCCTTGACCTGTATCCTCATCTGTGTCCTCATCTTGATATACCGAAGCAAAGCCAGGTGTGTTGCCCTTGCTAGAGATGCCGATAAAGGGCCCCGGGGGCCAATGGCTTACAGGTAAAGTGTTTGCAGTGCCAAGTGTGAGACCCAAAGATCCCAGAACCTACAGAGGTGCCGGGTGGGCGTGGTGCCTGCCTAGCATTCCAGATTTGAAGAGGCAAAGGTAGGGAAATCCCTGCAGCTTAACAGCCAGCCTAACGAAACGTCGAGCTCCAGGCTCAGTGAGAGATTCCGCCTCAAGTGTGAGGTGGGAACGAATCGAGGAAGACAGCTGGGCCAACCTCAGCTCTCCACATACATGTAAATGTACATGCAGGCCACACACACACACACACACACACACACACACACACACACACACACGTACGGAGAGAGATGCTGCAATGGTTAAAAGACATTCAGGTGACAGGGGCTGCAGGAAACGAATTGAAATCAAGTGCCTTGTAGAATAACTGGGTTATTTTCTTCCTTAAAATGAGCGCTATGTTCCAGGTTTTTTTTTTTTTTTTTACAGCTTGGAATGTGCTGAATTTATACTGAGATCATTTTCCAGCCACTTGGGGGGAAAAAAAATGCTGTGCCAGTGAAAATCCCTAAGTGGGGATTTGGTTTCTGCATTCCTGTATGTTTGAGAGAGTGGCTTTTGCTTTTGGGTCCGTTTTCATGGCACCCTTGATCTAGCACACCCCTTCCCGAGAGGACCCCTCCTGATTCCCAGACATGCCTGGGTCACCAAGAGAGGCCCGGAATGACTGGGATCGCAGACAAGACTGAGAATAACGAAGTAAATAGAGATGTGTTAGCTCTCAGCTGTCAGGCAAGGCAGACACTGCAACAGTGAGAAAGTTAAAGATCTGGCATTTAGTCTCCAGAGTATTTGAGACACAGGCACCGAAGAACCCCGTTGTTTCAAATCCCGGGAGCTAAGGAGCTGGCTCCGTTAATAGTTACTCAGCTAGCATCACGAAGCCCCGGGTTCAATCCCCTGCACTGCACAAAGCCAGCTGTGGTTTTATGCACCTCTCCTGGTAGCACCAGCAAGGAGGATCAGATGTTCAAGGTCAGGGGCCTTCAGGGTGGCTCGGTGACTGAAGGCTCATGAGTCTGACCCAGAGGTCAGTCCTCAGCACCCACATGGTAGGAGTGATCAGCCTTGCTAATTGTCCTTTGGCTTTTACTTGTGCATGTGTGTGCAAACAAATAAATTAACGTAAACTTTGAAAAAGCAAAAAAAAGTAAATTCACCGTCATTTTTTTGGTTGCAGTTTTGAGGCCAGTGTGAGATATGCAAGTCACTGTCTCAAAAAAAAAAAAAAAGTTCTGATTTGGTACACTTGCCCTTGCTCACTGAGACGAGAAGGCTTTCCTTTGATCACTATTTCAGGAAGTCATCTGCCTCTAAGACAGCACAGAGTGGAAGCCAGCCGCTGTCCCGAGCCAGTGCCTCTGGAGCAGCGGGGAGTAACCTGGGGAAGAACCTGGAGAGAGCGACAGAGAATCAGGAGCCCTTGGTACCTGTGATGCCAACCAGCTTCATCGATGCGAAGGTTCGCTGGGCAACGCTTCTCTGCTTGGGTGACATTAACTTGCCGGGACACTGACAGGACACTGTGTTCAGTATGTGAATGGACATGCTCCTGTCGATAATAGTTATATAATTCACCCACAGTCTGGGGGGAGATGGTGAGGACACGTGAAAGAACAAAGGATGGAAGAGACAGGAAGCGAGGAGGACAGACAGGCCCCTTAGGCAGGATTATGGAGAGCACCATCACTAGCTATTGGTTGGTGTACCTTGGGCCTCCCCTCCCCTTTACGGAGTCAATACTTTTATTAAATTATTTTACACTGAGGTTGATGATTGCCTGAATCAATGCTCAGAGCACACACAAAAAGTTTTTTTTTTTTTTTAAGATTTACTGTTATATAAATATATGTATGAGTGTTTTGCCTGCATGTATATCTGTGTCTCACGACTGTGCCCAGTGCCCAAGGAAGGCAGAGGAGGGTATTAGAGCATTTGGAACTGGAGTTATAAGTGATCATGAGCTGACATGTGGGTGGGGGGGATTTGAGAGACTATAGCCTGTGCTCTTAGCCTCTAAAGAACATTGTTTTAACATAAGAAAGATCAGGGCTGGAGAGATGGCTCTACATTTTCTGCTCTTCCAGAAGACCCAGGTTCCATTCCCAGCATTCACATGGTGGCTCAAAATCACCTCAACTCCACTTTCCAGGGATCTGACTCCCTCTTCTGACCTCCTTGGGAACGTGGCATTCATCCATCCATCCATCCATCCATCCATACATACATACATACATACATACACGCAGACAAAACACTTATACATGTGAAATAAAAATGTAAAAAGATCTGCATAGACACCTGAAGAGCCTTCCCTTGATGGCCCAAGGAAGTTGAAAATTACAAGGAACTGTCACCAGAAGATGCTGCCTCTTGCCTTTGCCAAGGCTTACGATGCGCATTATGGAAACAAACTGTGCTCTGCCTCATCACATTCTTAGAGTAGCTCTATAACAAATGTGACATGTGTCAGGCACACCCACAGCTTCGGGTACATGGCCATCACCCCAGCAAAAAAGAAAAAGAACGTTTTCTAAATTGCTGAAAGATTCTTAGAAAAGATGATGCTGAAGCAGCTGCCACCTATGTCCTGCAGAGCTGAACTACTCGCTAGACAACCCCACATGGAAAAGTATTGTTCTGGTTAGAAGCCGTCCCTCGAGGACCCTTTCCTGAAGTTTACAGTGACTAAAGCATTTTAAAGATTAGCAGAATTAACAGTAACTCGTTTGCAGTTCTTTGTTTTGTGTTTTTGGTGTCGGTGGGTGTTTGTGGAGGTCAGAGGACAGCCTGGAGTTGCTTCTTTCCTTCCACTGTGTGGGTTCTGGGGAGTAAATTCAGGCCTTTCTCCTGCTGAGCCATTCTGCCTGCCCATAGGTTTATGTTAACTTCATTCAGTCATGGAACCATGTAACAGACATGTGCAGTCATCTCCAGCACAGAGTTACATGTAGAATTGGTTTCTGCTGTTGCATTTGTATTGTTTGCAGCCTGTCTCAGCTTTAATTTAATAAAAATAATAAATCAAGCCCCATTCAAATAATTTCAAATTAACGTAAGAAATTAAAATCTAAAGGGTTTTGGTTTTTTTTTTTTTTGTTTTTTTTTTTTTTGTTTTTTTTTTCTTTTCTTTTCCCTCAAGGCATGCAACCCAAACCGGCCTCAAATTCACTATGTAGACAAAACTAGCCTTGAACTCCTGATTCCCCAGCCTCCATCTCTGCCTCTTGAGTTCTGGGATTACAGGCTTGCACCTCCACCCCTGGTTGATAGCGTTCTGGGGGTCAGGCCCAGAGCTCCCTCCATACTAGGCGAGCACTGTACAAATGGACCTTGCCCCAGCCCTAGGATCCACACTTCTAAACACTAGTAGATTCTATTATTATCAGCTTTGTAGCAGATTTTAAAAAAAGACATGGGGAGAAAGAGAGTGAAGGAGAGGATGGGGAGGAAAAAAAGCAGAATCTAAAACCCAAGAGACAAAGAGCAACCGGAAACTGATGAGTCCCCTGGATTGGCCTGCAGGTGATGCCCCACTTCTGGATAAATGTGGGTCCAGGACATTGTTCCTCTCCCCTGCTACTAGAACATTTCAGCCATGCAAAAAAGGCTGAGTGAAGAATAGAATGAACAAATAAATACACAAATAATCATTAACATCTCATCATAATTCCATACTTCTGTTTGCTGTAACAACAACAACAAAAAAATTGTAAGCATTATCCTTTACGCCACGTAGCCCAGTGTGCTCAGAGGTTTTAATAAGGAGTAGGAAACAATTTTAAATAGGCACATAGAGGGAGGGGCATGCTAGCGGGGGGTGGGTACAGAGTAAAGCAAGCTAGGTGAGGTAACGCGATCCTGTCACCCATTAACACACAGGAGGCTGAAGAGTATGAGTTCCAGGCCGGCACGGGCTACAGAGGAAGACCCAGTCTTAAAAAGAAACACAAAAGAATAAACCTGACATTTTTTTTTTCTTGTGACATGTATAGGTGGGTGTTTGGTCTGCGCATACGGGGTGTGTGTGTGTGTGTGTGTGTGTGTGTGTGTGTGTGTGTGAGAGAGAGAGAGAGAGAGAGAGAGAGAGAGAGAGAGAGAGATACAGAAGAGGGCATAGCATCCCTGAAGCCGGAGTTAGGAATAGTCAGGAGCCACTCTGTGGGTGCTGGGAATCAAACCCCGGTCTTCTGGGAGAGCAGCCAGTGCTCTCCGCCATCACTCCACTCCCCGACCCCTGATACGGTTTTGGTCATAAACTAAGGTCCTGAATGTGTTCTCTCCTGTGTAGCAGAGTCACTGTCTGTGACTGTTGTCTTCTGTGGCCATTTACCGTCTATGTGCACTTCTTTCGATGACCTCAGAGCCCTGATACTGAGAAATTTTCCCTTTCTATCTCCTCAGGGAGGGACTGACCTGATCATCAATAGCTATGGTCCTGTAATCAAAAACAACACTAAGAAAAAGTGGCTTTTTTTCCAAGACACTAAGAAGATCAAAGTTGAACAGGTAATCCTCCGCTCACGAGAGGAGAATCCTTTACAGTCTAATTACAGTGGTAATTAGAAAGACAAAGAAAATGCAAATGAAGGGTTTTCCACAGACCTGGTTCTGTTCTGACTGTGGGGAGCCGTGATGAGGGGCAGCCAGAAGGACAGTTGGGATAGTAATCAGAGATGGGGTTTTTCAGTGGGTGTGAGGACAGTGAAAATAAAAGAGAGAAGGACGTGAGAAGCTTGTATCCAAATAACCAAGGGTTTTGGGTTGGTTTGGGGTTTTGGTTTGTTTGATTTTTTTGAGGCAGGGTTTCTCTGTGTAGCCTTGGCTGTCCTGGAACTTGCTCTGTAGACTAGTCTGGCCTTGAACTCACAGAGATCAGTCTACCTCTGTCTCCCAAGTGCTGGGATTAAAGGTGTGCATTGCCACTGTCTGGCTTGTTTTTTAAAGGTTTTTTGTTTTTGTTTTTTAATTATGTGTGTATGCCTGTCTGTGTGGCTGTATGCACGTGAGTATGGCCCCCCTGGAGCTGGAGGTTACAGATGACTGTGAATCACCTGATGTGGGTTCCGGGCACCTGATGTGGGTTCGGAGACCTGTAATATATGATCTCCTAGTCGTCCTGGGAACCTCTGGCCCAAACAGTCCATTGACCATGGTGACTTTTTTTTTTTTTTTTTTTTTTCTGTTTTTACCAAGATGGGGTTTCTTTGTGCAACCTTGGCTGTCCTGGCACTAGCTCTGTAGACCAGGTTCACCTTGAACTAGGCGATTTGCATGTTTGCCTCCTGGGTGCTGGGATTAAAGGCTGCCTAACACAACGGTGACCCTTTGTCCAGGAGCTTGAACTATCTGCTATCTCATGGCTGCCTTATCTGTTTTTGCCTAGACACAAAGAAGATTCACTCAGGCCGTCTGCTTTTACCAGCCAGGCACCACAGTGCTGATCAGTGATGAAGACTCCCCCAGCTCCCCAGGCCAGACCACCAGCTTCCCAAGACCTTTTGGGGCTACCCTTGACACTGAGCATTCAGCAAACAGTGAAGGCAGCCATGAGACAGGGGATTCTGGAAGGTTCTCCCATGAGTCCAATGATGAGATACACCTGGCCTCTGTCATCAGCAGCACACCCCCCGTGTTGGATTCCCTCGTGGGTGGCGAGTCTGATGGGGCTGCTCTGCTGAAGAATCGGGGGGACCCTGCAGAACCCTTGCCGCCTGAGCAGGGCCCCTCAGCCCCACAGGGGTATCCCATCTAGACAGCCGTACCCAGGTATTCACAACAAGCATCTGTTCGAAGGACAATGAACAGGGAGCCAAAGCCTTTTGTGAAAATCTTGATGTCTTACTGTTTATTGTTTTTTTGGTTTTTGTTTTTTGTTTTTTTAATTATTTTTAAGCTCACGAATTTTGAATGTTTCAATTGTCAACAATGTGAAAAGGGCAGTCAAGATGCTTGACTGGATTCTAAGATGTATCACTGGAGCAGAGGGAAGACTGCCTGCGCCCTCTGCTGAATAGCTACCTCAGTTTGCTGTTGGCGGACTCTGAAGACAACTGTGCTGGCTTCTCTCAGCGACGTAGCCAGCAGGACTTCCTAGTGTGTGTTCGTTGTGTGTGTGTGATGTGTGTGTGACTGAAGGAGTCCGATGGGTGGGTGAGGAAGAATGTTGATCTGAAGCTCTGTTTCTTTCTTTCTTTTTTTTTTTAAAGAACTGTGACACCTGCATGATTTGGACAATGCTGACACCTCTGGCTGTGAGGAGAAAGTATGGGACTAATTTGTTTGAATGCATGAAACAAAAACATCTCTCGGGAGAAGACCATCCCATAGCATCTCAGGGATCGTGTCCTTGCAAAGCTGTTGGGTTTGGGGCAGCAGGGCAGAACTTTGCTCCAGTCTGCCTGCAGCCTGCAAAGGCCACCTTTCCCTTGGTCCCACAGTCAGCCAAGGCTGCGCTGTCTCTTGTGAAACATCCTCAGAGCTTCTGGACCTAGCTGCAAAACACAGTGTAGAAAAGTGGATTTTTTTTTTTTTAATGGTTCAGATTTTTTTTTTTTTTTTAATTTCAGTTTGGCTTCAAATGGGGCGAAGAAATGTCATTAAATATTAAGAATGAAGATGAGCGAACTGGTAGAGAGTAAGATGAACTTGAGATTTTTCATAATAGCAGTGCCTTCCAGTATATATTATGAAGTTGTTTGCCTTATACCTTTTTAATATTCATGAAGATGTTTAGGAAAAAGGGTACCAAAAATCTGCCTTAAAAAAAAAAAAAAAAAAAAAGCTTGGATATTACTGATAGCTGTTTTGCTATCTGGCACCTTGCTGGAGTTGTTCTCTTTTTGGAGTGCAGGATTACCTAGCACTGTTGCCCCTCAGCACCCAGCGGCTAAGCTCTTGGCTTTGTACCCCACTAACTCCGGGAGTGAATTCATCTTCTGCCTGGTTTGAAATCAGCCCAGTAGAGCAGACCGCCTCATCCATGAGGTGCTGAGAGGGACATCTTTAGCCATTTAAAATCATGGGTTTTGCCCTCCCCACATTTTTATTTTTATTTTTTTTTTGGAAATGGCTTTTGAATTGCATCTTAAAAGAAGGACCCCTGTGGGTTTTCCCTTGAAGCTGTCCCTCCCTCTGGGCACGGACAGGGCAGGTCCTGTCAAATGGAGTTCTAAAGTCAAGGGAATTCTGCTGGGAAATCACCCCGGTGACATCTGTGGCGATGACTCTACCAACAGTTTTTCATTGTGATTCCAAGTTTTGTGCCAAATTGGATGTGCTTGGAAGCCGACAAACAGACTATGCCAGCCGCCACTTCTAAGCGCAGCTCTGTCCCTTTCATTGTGGGCTTCTTCGACGCAAAATGTGGAAAAAAAAAGAAAAAAAAAAAGAAAAAGCAGAGCTTTAGGTGAACAGTCGGAGGCAAGAAAAATGGCTTCCCCCGCCTTCGTGCTCCTGTTTATACTACCTCCTTTTTAAAGTTATTCGAGTGTTGTTGTTTCCTGTACTCAGGGACTTTGTGTTACTCTTGAGCTCATGACGCATGGGCAGGTGCACTGACAGGGTAGGGTGGTGTTTGGCTCGGTAGGCGGGTCAACCCCTCTCGGTATCTAAAGCGGAGACGTCCGTGGGATCGGTGGCTCTCAGTCTTTGTTCAAAAGCAAGCGGAATGTGAAGGTGGAACCTCAGGTTTAGGGCCGTACACATTTGGATCGTCTGAAAGGGCGTGAGGGGACAGACGTCGTCCCGGAAGAAAGTGCGCTGTTTATTGATGGCTAAGCCTTCGGCTTATAACAATTCGCTAATTCATTTAAAAAAAAAAAAAAAAAAACACCTTTCATTTTGTCCTTATACAGACTTTTCTGTCAATCCTGTTACCAAAGAATTCCCAGTAAACAGCGAACTTTCTATTATAATCACCTTAAATTGAATTCACTAGAAACAGCTATAAATAGACTCGAATGGAAGTCACTTCTAACCCAAACTGTAGGGTTTATATTGATAGTTACATTAATTAGACTAGTGACATTAACTACCTTAGTGTCACCAGAGCGTTCAAAAGAAAATGTTGTAATTTCCTTGCCAGCAGATGGTTACAAAGTATTTCAACTGTAGGATTTTTTTTTTTCCCTTCAGCAAGTAAAGAAATCTTCAAATCTATGGTATTAATGTATTTAAATTGTTGAAGTTGCTTGTTGGAGAGAAAAAGAATCTTAAAATATTTTGATCTTATGGAACAAGGTGTTTAATGTTCAACAAATGCTTTTGGCTTGGTGAAAGCAAAGACTTATTTGAAGCCTGAAGTATGAAGTTCTAGCTGAAGTGTGAAGATTATCACTTCTTTCTCATTACCTCATCGTGTTTCAACTCCAAATAAGCCCATATGCAAATCGGTAACTGTTTCATTGTCCAAAAATGTATTTGCGGGAAGTGGTGATAACCTGCCTGTCATTTTTAATGTCAAATATTACAATATACTGCTCATCAGTATTTCCATACCAAAGACCATTAAAATATATAGGTTAGCCTGTAAGTAAAGATGAGCAGATTTAAAATAAATTTATTTAGAAGCAGATAGGGGATCTAGCTTTAGTGGCAAAAAGAAACTATCAAATGGCTAAGTTTACATAGTTAAAGGCAATACAGTTATATTGGTATTTATCAGTGTTTTTTTTTTATTCGAGTCCTTTATATCAGCAAATTAAAAAGAAATTAAAAACCAAAGATATTTAAGATTACTTCTGAAAATAGGGACATTGAGCTGTACATTGAACTGTTGTTTGTTGTTTTATGTTAATGAACCGTCTCTCCAGAACCTCGCCCCTGTCCACGGCATCCCAAAGCTTTTTCCATGAAATCTGCTGCTCCAGCCACAGAGATGTTTTGGCTAAATGGTGTGATACTTTCGTAAGGCTCCATGACTGTGGCATCAGGCTCCTCCATGAAGGGGTACTGTGGGAACCCCTGAACCAGCCTGCACGGTCTGCATTCCTACATAAAGTCATCCTCTGGTTATTCAGGCAGCCTGAGGAGAGCAAATTAAATGTACTGCTGTTTGGGTGGGCAGTGCTGTGATTCAAATATGGTTTCTAAGTTGTAAGGTTTTCACTGTATCAAGGGAGCTGGGATTTCAATCTCAAATGGAAACCTGGATACAAAATGGAGTTTTCACAGAATCTCAAAATTTATAAAAGATGGATTCATCCATTAAATGACATTTTGAAAGGTATCGGGAATCAGATGCTATTGACATGTTACAGGCTCTCTCTGGCCTTTACCTCAAACATGAGCGGCGCCAGCAATGTGGCAATGACAGGGGTGTCTGAAGGCCTTCTGAAAAAAAAAATTTTTTTTTTTTAAAGTCTCAAGAGTCGGTGACTTGGCAACACTGCTCAAGTCCTTAGGAAGACGCCACTGGAAACTGTTCTTCGTGTCGTCGGAGGCTGGCATGCTGCACTCTAATGAGCTGCAGCAGCCGGATCTCTGTGCACTCCAGGCCTGCCTGCTCTCTGTAGTCAGCCAAGGGTTCAGGGGATCATTTTAGGAAACGTCACCATACGTGGCTCAGTCAGTAGCTGTTGCGACTCGTGGTTCACTTCATTTGCGATGTCCATTTTGAATACCAGGTGTGGAAGAAGAATTTGAACTGTATTTTAAAGAGCTGTTACCTGAGGCCAACCCTGTATTCTGCAAGAGTTTCTTCCTGAACATTCACTCCATGTGTCCCTGAGAAAATGGCTTTGGTAGAAGTCAGAAAATCACTGCTGTGGTCTGTGAGCACAGAGCAATGGGTTCTGGAGACCACCATCCACAGCCGTTGTGAGGTTTGTTTGTGTTTAGAAGGCAACCATAGGTTCTGTGCTGGGTTGCTTCATGCTCAGGATACAAGTTCAGGGGCTAATGCAATGTATGTGTTACAGGCTTTTCCGGAAGGCGGGCACCATATTGATTTTCTTACAGTTTTCTCTAACAAGCTATCACTAATTTAGTGTCTGCAGACAGCAACACACAATTATCTTAGAGCTCTGTAGGTCAGAACTTTATTTTTTTCTTTTTGCTGCAGTTTCCTGCTGTGAAACCCTGGAATTGGCTTTGAACCAGCCGGGATCCTCCTGCCTCATCTTCTCACACACTGAGATTGTAGGGGTGTGCCACCAGCCCAGCTATGGGCTAAAATGAAGGTTTTGATGGGGCTGCATTTCTCCTGAGGCCTGAGGGAAGGCCCCTTCCCTTTTTCAGCTTTTAAAGACTGAATTTGTTTTTTGGGGTCTGTTTGTTTGTTTCGGAACCAGCAACATCGCCCCTCCCCCTCTCCTCTCTCTGTCCCAGGGAAGAAAAGTTCTTCAGTTTTAAGTACTCCTGGTTAGCTTATTCTGGCCTTCATCATCCAAGAGGATGTCCTTAGATGAACCATGTCTGCCACGTTTCCTTTGGCGTGAATTGTAAGATACATGAAATTCTAGGGATTTCTCTGTGGACTTCTGTGGGTGGCCATCATTTTTCCCTGCTATAGTAGGACCCATCAATTCTGTGGGATTCCTCTCTGAGTAACATGATACTAGGTTTTCAAGAGGTTTGCTTGCCCCGTGGAGACCTTTAAAATGTCAAAGACCTGTACTTTGCTGAAAGCACACGTTAAAGTCGGTCTATGAAGCCCTCAAAGACAGTGCTACTGGAAGCATTTCTGGAAACGAGCTCCACCCACTTCCTAGCTCCTCTAGTCCTGTCTGTTTTCATGGGGGGACATCTCTTAAA